AAATCACAAATTTTTAATAATACAGAATATTTTAATTAAAATTTATTTTAAAAAAATTAACAACTCGTGAAGCACATTTTGTATCTGTAGCAGTATACTTTTCAAAAGATACGTAATAGAATAGAATTGAAAATATTGCATAAATATATATTGCATAAACTCGTAAACTCACCCATCCATTTCAGAAAGTAATTGATTAATTGTCTGATTCGCATAAGGATGGAGAACTGAGTTCGTCCTTTTTGCTCCCACGGAATCTATTTCATCAATAAACACTACGCACGGTGCCTTTTCTTTCGCCGCTCCTGCAAAGTTACATAGAAGGTATTGATGTACTTTGCACGATATTGACAATTTACTAGTTAATTCTACTTTATTCGCAAAATTTGTCTTCTTGCCTGTTGGATTTTACTCACTGAACAACTCTCTGACACGTCGGGCGCCTTGGCCAACAAGGACCTCATCAAATTCAGGGCCTGCCACATGGAAGAATGGTACACCGGCTTCTCCAGCGACTGCACGCGCTAACAATGTTTTTCCTGTTCCTGGCGGGCCGACCAACAATACTCCCTTCGGCAACTTTCCGCCGAGAACGGAAAATTTTTCAGGGTTTTTTAAGAATTCTACTACATTCAAAAGCTCTTGCTTTGCCTCATCTGCCTGTAATTTTTACAAAATGTTTAAAGTACTTAAATTTGCATAAATTAGTTGTTAGTTAAACTTTGATAAAATTAATTCAACAATACAATAATTAGACCTTTTGGAGAACATTTATTACCTACCCCTTTAACATCATTAAAAGTGACCTGGATGTCTTCAGGATCAATTTCAATCCTATGAGTCATAGGAAGCTTGAATACCCCTGATTGATAGCTAACTGCACATTATAAATAATTCAGTAAACGCAGGAACTTTCAATGCAATAAAAGCGGAATTTTCATATCAATTTTGATATACGTACAATAAAGCACAATTATAAGACCAAGAGCAGAGAGACTAAACACAGTTTGTATGATTTTCAGCCACGAATTGGCATGGCCTCGCGTCTGGCGCTGTAATCCAGATTCGTATCCCTCCACGAAAGCAATTTTTATTCTCTTCTGTTCATCCGTCGTTGCGTCAGTATTGTTAAAAATTTGTTTTAGTTTCTCATAATCCGAGCCCTTCAACTCGGATACCAAACCCTGCGATAATAAAATAAAATCAATTAGAACGTTTCATTTGTTAAACAATATGCTTTTTCAATCATGTTTTAATAAGTCAGATCATTTGAGTAAAATATAAATGTCGTACCATTTGTGTATTAGAAGACAGGCCAAGCCATTTCTTTATTCTGTTCATGAACGGTGGGTTTTGCTCCAGTTCCATTTTTATATTACGTTGGGACTTGAATGTACGAATCGGTATATGACTGTGTAGCTTCTTGCTGTACCATGTGTGCAGCAGTCTGTTTTGTTGTCTTGACGCTAGATGAACGACAGGTAGAATAATGGGCTCTGTGAACGAGGAGCATGGAAAGTCTCGTCTGTTCTCAGCAAAACTTAGGCCGGATAAGTAAGACACTTTCCACTTATTATTCTCTTCCAAAGGTCTTCTAAATATACTGACAGCTACGTTATTCAGCATTAAGCACACCTTACAGTCCTTCATTCGTAATACGTTTGAAGTGCTTAAATTTATCTCTGGTAGCTCGGTACAATTTTTCGCTGCCTAAAACAAACCAAAAGTTCTGCTTACACCCACAATTTCGCTGTCGACAAGACAAGCGCGAAACAAACTAGTTGAAAAAGTCAATCTTTATATTACGTCTTATTCTTTAATGTATAAGTTAGCTATACTTGAAAAAAATAGAAATACCTCCTTAAGACTATCAGGACAAATTGCTGTCTCCTCCGCGTTCTTTTTCTTTTGTAAGGATTCATCCTGTTTCTTAACTTGAACCGAATACGAAGTTGTCCTAGGATTCGCTATACACGCCAGCTGCGTCAGATGGTACAAGACCTAATTCAAAGAATATCCAAATTCATCAGGACACGATTCATCTTAAATTCAGCAAAAGGAAGAAATCAAAAGAAATTTGATTCTTCAACTACTAAAAATTTTAAGCAAATCATCGATTTTAAAGCTTTTTATCGTGTCGATAGCGCTTATTATCTATTATTGTAGACATTCTAAATCTAATATATTATAGAAATAATAAATCTGACAGTATATCGTAATTGCAGCGCGTTATCTATCCCCTGCATTTATAACCTCAAAAAAGCAATTTCATCATGCAGATGAAGAGATCAAGTACACAAATATACATGTTTAAATATACATTTAACAAAAACTAAAATGCTCTTGTACTTATTCAATCAAGGACAGTAAATGATATGTATATGCAAGAGATATGCGAGATACGCTGTCAGAAACATGACGCAACTGGACACAATTGTAGGACGTCAAAAGCGCAAACCTGATTGTGAGACTGAAGAGAGATCATGATCGTGAGTCTCGGAACGAGAGAATCTCGTGCAGAATCGTGATCGTGCGAAATTTGCGTGGGGAAACCACCACCGGATGATTTCGGGGTCGAAAGAACGATCGCGCAAAACCGATGGATCGCGATCGTAGAACCCGATCGAGCGCGTGCCGATCGTTCGCGAAATCTGTTGGACGGCCGCTCCTCGTAGGTGTAGTCACGTGACCGGTCACTTGGCAATTTGTTGCAACATTGAATGCGATTTTTTTTAAATATATACGAGAACCAAGCGTGTTTTGAACGCGGAGCGAATTGATGGTTAGCCGTCAAAGGCATGAACTAGTAATTTATCAGGTTCGTCGATGATTCATATGTTATGTTCATTCACGTGATCAAAACGCCCGCGCCATCTTCTTGGCTCAAAATCTAGATTTATGCTAGGTCTACAATGCGAGTCGTAGGAAATTGACCAATCACGGTCGATTATTCTCCCCAAATTCGTATGTGATTGGTCAAGCATTTTCCCCTACTGGGGTTACGGACAGAACAATACTTGACTGGGATTGGTCGATTTTCTTACGCTTACGTTTTACGTCCTTACGCGATTTTATGTGTGAAGGCCTTTATACAGGCAATTCCAGCATTAATAAGAACTAAAAAAAAAAACAGATGGTTTATCATTTATTAATTTCATTTATAATTAATCCTTGTCTCAAAATAAAAATACTCAAGTTAATGATAACTTCGATCAAACTTTGCACTTATCGTGCGCGATTTTTTAAAATCGCGTGCAATTCTTTCAAATTCGCATACAATTTCTTCAATTACCGCGTGCGATTTTTAAAAATTGCGTGCGATAGTATAATATTTATTTATATAGTACTATGAATCACTCTATCAATGTTATTACACACTAATTTATATTATGTTTTATAATTGTTTACACAATTGGTCAAACGCATAGGTGTTTAACATCAACGCTTTATTGCGTGAAAATACGCACGAAAAGATGCATATCCTCATTCGATTCATTATAGAATCACACATTTGACTCGATCGTTATATCTATGAACGTTTGTCTCACGTCAAATATTGAAATTAGTAAATAGATAATATATTATTACGATAACATCAGTATTAATCAATGAGAATGTAATTTAACAATTACTACGTTTACGCGATGAGCGTTACTTCTGTAGTAACTTACGATACGTCCTTCGCGTAAACGGGATTTTGTAGTAATAACTTACGATAATTTACTCCGCGTAAACGAGTAAATTATCATAAGTTACTACAGAAGTAACGCTCGCGTAAACGCGCGTAGTAAATGTAATTTTTCAACCATCACAACGCACGGACATTCAAAATTCGATTTTATCCATGGCGCCGGAGTCTCGATGCAGGGCATTGCGGGGGCGGCTTGCGGGCCCACCGCGAATCGGCTGCGCCGACAGCGCGGCGAGGCCGGCGAGGGGTAATCTGGGACTCTCTCTCACAGTCCGTGGTCGTCCATGCGGTGTTTGGGTAGCAGGTTACGCTGCGCTCTCCGCGAAATGACGTTTGTTGCAAAATATCGGCCGCGCCGGAGCGAGCAGTGAGCCGCCCGCCGCCGAGGTGCCCGCCGTCGTGGCCTCCTCCTCCCCCCCCTTCCGCCGCCCCGCGTCGAAGATTAGGTACGCAGCGCAGAAGCACCTGTGCAACAGTCCGTCCGTCCATCCGTGCACACGCACGCACGCACGCCGAGGGGCACCGTCGCGCGCCGGACCGTACCCCGTTTAACCCCGTGCCCCGCGAGCGACGAGCGGCGAGGTTAGGATTCTGCCAAGTCCGGCCGGAGGAGTCGACGTGCGCGCGGCCGATGCTCGCTTCCCGACTCAGCGAAGGTAAATTCGTCTCGCGGACGATCGCCGTCCGTCGTCCGGTCCCGGTCGGCGCGTCGCGACGCCACGCGGCGCCGCGTCTCGCGCGCGCGTGTGTCCGAACTCCGAACGCCGCGCCGCCACCGCCACCGCCACCGCCACCGCCACCGCCACCGCACGCTTACCGCGGAGCTGCCAGAACCTAACCTCTTCTCTCCTCGCTCCGCTCCGTCTCGCTCTCCTCTCGCGCGCCGTCGCTCGCGTTTTCTTCCCTTTTGCACGCGCCACACGGCGCCAGTTCGCCCCGAGTGCCCCGACGAATTCGTTCCCTCCCCCCGTCCTGTTCCTCGTGCCCGTGCCCCCCGCGCGGACCGACGGTCCAGGCTTGTTTATCACCTCCTTCCCTCCCCGACGACAGCTCGCTCCCTGCGTCAATCGTGGATGACAATAGACACAGACGTCAATTGGCCTCATCGAGCACGCACGAGCACGAGACGGGATTCCGCGGGTCTCGCGAAAGCCGTGTTGATTGTAGATAAGTACCCAAGCGTGATCGCGATGACGATTCGATCGTGTGCCTGACAGTGGGTTGAATCTCGTGAACAATCGTGCGAATGGGTCGTCGATAGTTTTGTATCAGTTATTTGTCTCCGCGGAGGTATGGTAAACCAGTTTCTCTTGTGATGCCTGTGGATACTTTTATGGTGGTGGCGGTGAAATTTACGGATGTGACATCCGATATGTGTATTTTATAAGGGTTATTAGATAAAGCGCACCGAAAGGGACGGTGAGTTTGTAAACATGCGTATCGATTCTGTGATTTTCTCACATACGGATTAACATTCAATTCTATCTTATTTCTTACACGTACTTGCTGTTATTTTTCATATTTAGGTATATCTTAAGATGCGACGTAGGCAGCTTGTTAATTCAGGTCAGCTTGATGATGTAGGATAGAAATTTGTACGACGCACCTCCGTGCATGTTGCCAGAAACTTGAAGCTTACATGCAAGAAACGTGATTTATGTGATGAAAACACATATTCAGGCGTTGCCTTGTCAAAAGAATATATTGAATGTATTTTGGGTCTGTTTTCTATTGCTGAACTGG